TATATTAAGATCAATAAATAATTGGAAGCAAGCAATACATGATATAAACTTCGAACTGATTTACATAGATGACATGTTGAATTTAATATTGAGCATTATGTTATGATTCAAATTAAACTGGAACAACGTCCATCTCGATCCGTTTTCAAGTTGCAAGTTCGTAATGCTAGTCCTTATAAATTTTAAAGCATGTTGGTCCAAATGCATACGTTATTGATTTACCATCAGATTTTGGCTACCACTTTACATTCAATGTCGAGGACTTAGTTGCAAAGGCTATTTTACCCCCATATGATGATCCTTTTATGCCTCCATCTGTGGACTCTCAACCTAAACATGTTATTCCTGCCCAAATTTCACCTGCCTCAGCACACAAAAATAAAATTGATGCTGTATTAAATAAACGGATTATGTTAACCAAGGATTAAGAGATTCAATGCTTCTTTGTTCATTAGTTAGGTAACCCTAATTCTAATTATACTTGGATCCCCAAAGTTTGATCCCGATTTATTGGAGCATTATATGAGTCAGTAGAATCTTGCTTTGCCCAGATTAACACCCTTACGTATCTATAGACATCGAAAGAAATTTGTTCAACCGCTTAGTTTGTGGTTGGGATTTTGACACCAATATTTTGTGATTTACCCACACTGAGGGGTCAAGTTTTTCTCCCACCCTGGAGATTTGATGCGAACATCCTTTATTGGACCGTTTGTTTGGGCCATTTATTTATGTTTTACATCCATTTATTTATACTTTAAGTTTTATTGGGCTAGTATATGGGTTTGACCTAAGCCCCTTTACTAGGTTTATTGTTTTGTTATTTATATGATTGTAATGGAAACTTCCAATGACATTTGACGAATGAAATACATTTCGTTGGTTGTTGCCCACATTTGTCTCCCCTCTTCCTTACTTTCCTCTCTCATCTCCTTTTTCTCAATTACTAGCCGAGTCTTCCTCTTCTTCTTTCCCTACCTTTCTTGTCGTGACTCTAGTTAGGCTGGAATACTCAAACTGATCCTAAATCTCAAACTTTCCACCTCCTTATATTATGCTAGTGTTGCATATCTTAGCTTGTAAGCCGCATATGTGGGACACGCTGCCTTAGAGTGTCCCTAAGTTTCAAGGGTCGAACAGGTAGTTTGTTACACATTATGAAATACATTGTCGTATGACTAGGGATGGCAAATGGGCCGAGCGGCTCGTCGGCTCGCCCGCTTGGCTAGCGAAAACGAAGTTCGTGGGCGGCTCGAGCTCGTAAAAACACGAGCGCGAGCGCCAGCTGAGTGGGCCGGTTCTGTGGGCGAGCCGAGCCCGCTCGGCTCACACAAAAAACGAGCCACGAGCCACGAGCCCGCGAGCAGCTCGTTATAAACGAGCCCAAGCTCGTGGGCTCATTTTTTAAAGTGACCGTTTCAGTCACTTTATGAAAACGGTCATTGTTTGTCAGTGACCATTTCAGTCCTTGAATTATTATTATTTTTTATTTTGAACGTTAACGGTCACTGAATTTTTTCAGTGACCGTTTTGGTCCTTAAATTTTTTTTTTCTTTTCTTCTTTTATAAATAGCGGCATTTAGTCACAAAATTTTCTACAATTCACTCTCAACTCTCAATTATCTTTCTCTCAACTCTCTTGTATTATGTTGATAGTTGTGCAATTTTTAATACAATTTATACAATATCCAATTTTCATTTCTCAATTCTCACTATATTTATTGAAATTCCATCCAATTTTCATTTCTCACTACATTTATACAATTATTCTTCTACTAGTTATTACTTATTACAATTAAACAAATGTACCCACGCGCATTTGTCGAAAACTTGTTTGGTGTGGGAGGAAACGAATCGCCTATGACACCGCAAAGTCAATTTCAGAATCAATTTGAAGGTCTAAATGACGTATCCCTAACTGAAGATATTCCAGATTTGGATCTTCATCATCATGTAAGCGGCAATCCAAATTATCCAATTAATTTGGATGATGTTAATGTTCCCGAAGCGAAACACGATCAGGAAGAAGAGGTTGAATTAAACATTCCTAATGCGAGGGGAAAGCAAAAGGGGAAAAACAAGCAAAATGTTGGAATCATTTTAAGTTAATTTCAATGGGAAAAATCGTCAATGGAGTTCAAGAATCCAAAGTAGTATGTAAATACTGCCAACAAAGATGGACATGGCAAAGAGGAATTGGTACCACCCATCTCAACCGTCATTACAAAGTATGTGCGGCTAAACACGGACTTATTCCAGGTTGTCAAACACAATTGCAATTTGACAGTCCAGACGCCGGTGGTTCTGCTGCACCCTTATCCACATGGGTGTATTCGGAGGAGAAAGCTCGAATCGGAATGGTGAAATTTGTTGCTGGTGCTGAGTTGTCTTTGGCATTAATTGACAACCAACACTACGTCTCGTATGTGAAAGAATATCGCAGCCAAGGTACGTTGGAGTAAGTCGAAACACTCTTCGTTCCGATACAATACAATATTTTACTTCAACAAAACAACAATTAATTATGGATTCGCAAAAATATGGGGGTGTCATATCTTTAACTTCGGATATATGGAAAGAGATTAATAAAAGAGCATATATAGTTGTAACTGCACATTATATAGACCCACTTTAGTGCATGCATAAAAAAATTATTGCTTTTAGAATTATTGAGTTTCCTCGCAATGCTAATAATATATTTAATGCTATTATTAGTTTTATTAAAGAATATCATTGCGAAGGTAAAATTCGTTCATTTACTTTCAATAATACTAGTGTTAATAAAGTAGTTGATGAAAAATTGCATAGGATACTACAACCTGATTTTGGTGGGTATTTGTTTCATATTCGTTGTGTATGCCATATTTTGAATTTAATTGTTCGAGATGATTTATAATATATAAAGGATGAGCTTCAAAATATTAGGAACGCACTAATGTATATCACAATCTCTCCAAGTAGAAAACAAGCATTTGAGGATTATTGTGCCGAAATAGAAGTTCAAAATGCTAAAATATTTGTTAGCGACTTAGGTCATAGGTGGAACTCTACTTACTTATTATTAAAGTCATGTGAAGGTTTTGAATATTTAATAACTGACTTTTATAACAATAGACATGTTAGAAGTGATGACGAGAGTATGTTGACTAAACGTGATTGGCATTTAGCTTTGAAAGTTAAAAAAAAAAAATTTGACATCTTTTTATGAAATCGCTAAGATTTTATTGGGCGTTTACTATCCCACTAGTTGTATAGTGCTTGAACCTTTTTATATAATTGCAAGAATATTTCATAAATACATAAATGACCCTGATTTTAGTGAAATTATAATTGCTATGTATTTAAAATTTAGAAAATATTGGAAAGATTTGCCTATATTATTTCCTTTAGCATGCGTAATGGACCCCGATATAATTTATCGGGAACTAAATATATAATTGATCAAATTTCAAACGCCTTAACATTTGATACACCTATCACATATAAAAATTTAAAGCAAATATTATGTGAAATATATGAATTATATGCGAACCGAATGGGTACCAATATTAGTCGGGTACCATCTGCACCTACTCCTTCCACTGAAATTGAAGAAGAAGATGCGGAAATATTTAATTTATTTCAAGGCATTAATTCGCATAGATTTGATTCATCTGCAATGTGTTCATCTACTACCACTGCCACTGCCATGTCGTCACCATCTGTATCTCATTTTCATCAAACATCTACGGGCTCAAGCCATAATACATTGCCCGCTTAATTAATTGATTATTTCAACCAGAATATGCCAACAGATAAAACAATTAAAAAAAGTTCAGACGAAGTAATTGAATTCTGGCGAAGGTATGAACGACGTTGGCCAGTTATATCTGCGATTGCAAAAGATCTGCTGACACCTCCAGTTAGCACTGTTACTTCAGAGTCTACTTTTAGTGCAGATAAAAGAGTTTCGAGCGAGATCAGGAGCCGACTAAAAGAAAATATTTTAGAAGCGTTAATATGCGTTAAAGATTAGTAGGACGCTCATTTTCGACTACAAGATAAATATGCCGAAATTACATGTCGTCAAATAAGTGATATTTGATTTGATTATATTGATGAAACTTTTCTTTTCTTATCGTTACTTTTAATTTGCTTTAAAAAATTGTACATGCTACAAAAAATTATTCGTGTACAATTCTTAACTCCGTCTACTGAAAATTTAAGTAGTCGGTCTAAAAACCTGGATAAAGGAGGATGGTTTATATTTTATCTATTTTAAAAAGAAAAAAAATAAAATTTTTATTTTTATTTTTTTCTCTCTCTTTTAGTTAAAAAAAAAAAAAATTCTTTTCCACCAATTTAGTTAAATTTTTGTTATTACTTGGTACTATTACTACTATATATCCACATTTTAAATTCTTTTCTCGAACAACGCTTTACGTATCTTTGTATATAATTTTTGAAGTAAATTCCTTCTGAAAATTAAAAGGGTAATCGAATGATTGCCCTTTCAATTGTCAGAAGTCTTTCAATTCGAAGATCATATATAATTTTCGAAGTGAAAGACTTCTATATAATCTTCTAAGGGAAGACTTCTGACAATTCAAAGGGCATTCGATTACCCTTTCAATTTTTAAAAGGAATTTTCTTCGAAAATTATATACAAGGGGATGCACAGCGTTGCTTGAAAAAATAATTTTTAATACTGTTTTAAAATTTTCTTTAAAAAATTGTACATGAACAAACAAACAAATAACACAATTTTTAACTCCACCTACTCTAAATTTAAGTAGCCGGTCCAAGCCCAGATAAAGGAAAAGGGTTTAAATTTTTTACCTAATTTTTTATATATAACTCACAATTTAAAAATTAAAATTACTTTTTTATTTTCCAATTTACCTATTTGTTTCAAAAAAAAAAAAACGACATCTGCTCACGAGCCGAGCAGGCTCGGTCCATTGACAACCCTACGTATGACCAATAAATTAAGATCAACTCTATTCTCTCTGCTAAAAGAATGCAACACAAGAAAATAAATGATCATTAATCTTAAAATAAAATATTTACATGTGGCGAAATGATCATCTCATCAAAATCTATCGAGCAAGCATTGAACCTTTTCAAATACATCATACAAAAATGGACAATACTACATGTACACTTTTTGTGTATATAATGGGTTACACCTCCTTTACATGAAAGGGGCCAACGTATAAATGATTTGTAGGCCCCCTCCATGTGAGAGGGTGTAACCCATCATATACACCAAAAGAGTACAAGTAGACTTATTCTACAAAAATATAGCCAAAAAACAGTCGGTATTGGTATAGTTTCCTTGCAGAATCAGCCACAGAAATCCAAGAATGGAGCAACAATTAGTGTAAAACACCTTGGTGACAGTGATTGCTTTTTCTTAATCAAGTTTGGGAGAATGCCATTTTGAGTCCAAGTTTCTGGGAGACAAAATGGAAGTTCTAAAACAACTGGAAGAAAAGACTCGTTGATCCATCTCCATATGATCTAAGATCAGCAGGTCTAACCAGGGCCCTACATAAAGGGCAAGTTCTTTCTCTGTCAAACCTGCAAAAGGAAAAAAGTAGTTTGGAATAGACCTCGTATAATCAGAAATCCTGGAATTTATTCGTTGATTAAAATTTGTGATATCACAACCAGAAGAACAAGCTAGTACGTGATTGTGACGAAGAGGAAAGACTTCTACATCAACTCCATTCTGTTCTTGATCTTTCTTTCTTATTTGAAGTAATGACATTGAATTAAACTATTCACATAATCAGTTTGTACCATGACAAGTATAGGCATAACAAAGGTCTTCCCAATCCTGATTGGTTTTTATCATTCACTGTCATAAACAACAAATTTTGCTGGGCTTCTTTGAATAATTCCAGAAATTTCAAAGAAGTTAGACAATACTCAAACCCAAATTTTTAACATGCTCTATACCTCAACTATTTTGATCTTAAGTGTTTCAATTAGAAATCTCCATATCTTAATCGTTGTCAGACATCATCATGAACCATTAAAATCAAAATATTTTAAAGCTTACACCTTCTCATAAGCTGAAAAATGATTCTCATGGGGTCCACTACCACCAATTAGAAGAAGAGAAAGCTAATGACAGCTAAATGACTTGACATTTCATATGGCACTCTAAAGAGACGTGGAAAAAACAAGCCGTGCCTTTAAAAATCATCCTTCTATAAAAGATCAAAAGATCATTCACGCTTGATGACAGCAAAGAGGTGTTCTGATTGAGAAGGCTGGCAAGGGCCCACCATAATTCAATTACATAAATTTCATTTCTAGTAAAAGTAAATTATAAGCAAGTAGCCAGCCAAGCCAAGCACAGATTATAAGGAATATTCCCATAAATCAATGATTGTCAAGAGAAATTAGCAAATGTGCATCACATAATGCAAAAAAACTAACCATTCTGAAACACAGTCTTCACAGAAGATATGTTTGCAGCGCAATAAAATTGGAACATGCATCTTCTCCTGGCATATGGCGCAAAGATCTCCTGCTGCAGTCACCTATATTGAATAATTTAAAAGAATTAGTTATGAAAACAAATTAGTCTTAATGCATTTTAAAGATAGAAAACAACACATTTCAGCAGCGGATAGAACTATGTGACCAAGAATTCGAGGCTAAGAACGATAAGGTATATGGATCAAGTATGCCATTAAGCAGAAACACTACTCCAGGACATAATATATTGCTCCCCACTTAGTGTTGTAGCTAGGCTCGGTCAGCTCAAAATGTAAACGAGAAAATGGTGGATCACAACAAGAACTTGAGTGGATAAATCAATTCATTTAGCCAAATACAGCAACATGCAAGCACTAGCTATGAGCAAGTGACTAAGATGCACGGATTTGAATACAAAATTCGGATACGATAAGATAAGGGTATGCCTATAGAGTCTTTTAAAAAAATTATGATACTCAAATACATGTATAAAATATATAGTGAAATTCGATTATGTTAAAATAATGCTTAGGGTTCGGCTCTCTCCTTCACTATTTCTATTTTATACTGCGCTCGTCGATTGATGGTGTCTTCCACTTCACTTGTCGAAAATAGCCTTTTCCTTTGCACTCATCAACATGTCAGTACTCTATATTCCACAGCACTTTCGCAATTTGTCGTGTTTCACGAACATGTGGTATTTGAAAAAAAAAGAACTAAAAAGGGACACATGCCACATGGCATTTCCAAGACGTCACTACGTGTCATTGTTTGATACGTAGAAACAACATAGACTACAAACATTTAGTCCTTGTTTAAGCTCCATTATCATTATTATTTATTTATTATTATTTTTTTCATAGGTAATCAGGTTTGAGCTCCATTTTTTTAAAAATATACTTTTTCAAAACTCATTTTCAATCATACATTCTCCAATAAAATAATGTTACACATAAACTCAAAATTATTCATTATTTTTAACCACACATCCTCCAAACACCATTCAGAAACACATTTTCCCCTAAAATCTCATTTTAATGGAGCCCGAAAAAGGGCTTAATATGATAATCACTAATTTAGGGATCGGATTATGCTACTGATATCTAGAATTTAGTTAGAAAGGGTTACTTTAGAAGGAGATATGCTACAAAGATTATAGGAAGATGTATTGAAGTTAAAAGGCAAATTCTGCAGAATGATTATGATGGAGGAATAAAGATAGTTTAATCTTAATTAACTTATTTTTAATTTATTATAGTTTTCTAGGTTGACTAGAATTAGGTATTGTTTTATAGATTTTCTATTGTCCATGTGGCTCATATAGAGTGGAACATAGGTCCTAGATCGAATAGGCCAATGTCGGGAGGAGCGCATCGAATGGAACGGAACGGAACGGAGTGGAGCGATGGCATCGGCATTGTACGGGTTTAATTCACTGTCTGGTTGTTAGGGAAACTGAATGGGTTACGGGTGTGGGGGGCAACGCCCCCGTGGTACGATACAAGAATATTTCTTGTACGGGCCTTAAAATTTTATATGGGCTAAACTAATGTTAGTATAAATAATATGTTGTAACCCTATTTTTCACTACTGAATAAACATTACCTCCGCTTTGCTCTCGTGGCTGTAGGCACACCGCCAATCCACGTAAATTCTTGTGTTGATTTTCTTTTTCATCTCTTTATTATTGTGCATAGAATCCAACAATTAGTATCGGAGCAAGGTTCAGATGGTGAGTTCTTCGATTGCAAAATTCAATGTGATGAAGTTCGACGGATCTAGGAATTTCGGATTATGGCAGCGAAGGGTGAAGGATTTGTTAGCGCAGCAAGGGATGGTGAAGGTACTATTTAGGAAGAAGCCAGAGGGTACGTCAGGTGTCGATTGGGAAAAGCTCGAGGTACGAGCAGTTGGTACAATTTAGCTTTGTTTGGCGAACGAGATCATGTATCACGTCATGGACGTTGAGTCTCCGGCGAAGGTTTGGGAGAAATTGGAGAGTCGTTATATGTCAAAATCTCTCACGAACAAGATGCATCTGAAGCAGCGACTGTACGGGCTAAAGATGTTGGAGGGTACAGATCTGATTCAACACACCAATGTATTCAATCTAATTATCAGCGATATATTGCGACTTGAAATCAAATTTGATGATGAAAATAAGGCAATGAGTTTTGTTGTGCTCATTTCCTCCTTCGTATGACCGTCTGGTGACCACGTTGACGTGGGGGTAAAGACTCTCGAATTGGAGAAAGTCACACCAGCCCTGTTAGCCTACAACCAGCGGAAACTGCGTACTGGTGAAATTTCACAGGGTGAAAGGTTAATCGTAAAGGGCTACCAGGATTGTGGGAGAAGGAAGGACGGTGGTGGTTCTTATAGAGGGAACATTAGATCAAAATCTAGAAATCAAAATAAGAAAAACGTCAAGTGCTACAAATGCCATTAGATGGGTCACTTTAAGAGAGACAGTCCCAATAAGAAGCAGGGTGATGAAAGAAAAGGTGATGGGTCCTCAAACTCAACTAGTGTTGCAGAAAGAGACGCGGATTCTTGAGATGGAGACATACTATCAGTATTTGCAGGTAATTTTGAAAAATTAAATGACTATTGGACACTTGATTAAGCTTGTTCATATCACATGTCCTCACCAGGATTGGTTTCATTCATATCGTTTTGATAATTTTGGATCTGTTCTGATGGGTAATGATGCATCATATAAGGTCATTGGAATGGGATCTATAAAATTTGAAATGTTCGATGGTGTGGTAAGGACCTTGAAAAATGTTAGGCATGTACTTGAGTTGAAAAAAAATTAATTTTTTTAGGCACTTTAGACACAAATGGTTACTTTTATAAGTCAGAGTGTGGGGCTCTAACAGTGAAGAAAGGGGCTATGATTATGATGAAGGCTCAGAAGTTAGCAGGAAATATCTACCAACTACTCGGGGATACACTTGTAGGTAAAGTTGCTATAGCAAAGTCTGAGTCGGATGACACTTTTCTATGGCATATGCGACTTGGGCATATACGAGAACGTGGCATGGTTAAACTTCACAAGAGGAATTTGTTGAAGGGGGTAAAATCATGCAAGCTAGATTTCTTTAAGTTCTGTGTACTTGGAAAACAATCCAGAGTACAATTCAAGATGAAAAAGCACAAAACAGAGGGCATTCTTAATTACGTGCACTTAGATGTTTGGGGACCAGTGAGGGAGTTGTTCAAAGGTGGATCTCAGTATTTCATCACTTTCATTGATGATTTCTCTAGAAAAGTTCGGGTATGTTTCATGAAGCACAAGTTTGAAGCTTTTGCCAAGTTCAAATTGTGGAAGGCAGAAGTAGAGAACCAAACATGCTGAAAAATTAAGTACTCGAGGACAAACAACGGAACAGAGCACAGATTCATAGTTTCTGAAATTTTGTGAGGAGCATGATATTCAGCGGCACTATACAGTTCGCAAGACACCGAAGCAGAATGGTATAGCAGAAAGGATGAACAGAACAATTGCAGAACGGGAAAGATGTTCGAGGCTGAATGCAGGGCTCTCGAAGAGTTTTTTGGGCAGAAGCAGTGAACATGGCATGTTATGTCATAAATAGATCACCACGAGCAGCACTAGATGGAAAAGTTGCAGAGGAAGTTTGGACAGGTAATGAAGTTGATTATTCTAAATTGAGAGTATTTGGGTGTCCGGCTTATATGCATGTATCTAGTGATCAACGAACAAACTTGATCCGAAATCAAGAAAATGCATTTTTCTAGGCTATGTAAAAGGCGTAAAGGATAACAAGTTTTGGGATCCAGAGGCAAAGAAGATGACGATAAGTAGGGATGCAGTATTTGATGAAACATTCATGCTTAAAGCTTCTCCAGATAAAGAAAAGCTCAATTCAGACGAGGGCACAGGTAAGAGCCAAGTGGTGCAAGTAGAGCTAGACAATGTTAACACAGAAATTAATGCTCAAGGAGCGGATAGTTCTGGGTCAGAGGTGGAGCAGTATCATAGTGTTGCCTTAGATAGACCACCTCGCACTATCAAGCCACCAACAAAGTATTGATTCGAGGATTCGGTTTCTTGTGCAATCATTACCAGTAATAGCGATCCTATAACTTTTCGGGATGCCATTAGTAGTTAGGAGAAAGGCAAATGGATAGAGGCTATGGTGGAGGAAATTGAGTCACTGCATAAAAATGAAAATTGGGATTTGGTGGAGCTTCCAGACGAGAAGAAACAGATAGGGTGTAAGTGGGTGTACAGAAAGAAAGAAACGATGTCAGAAAAGAAAGGAGAAAGACACAAGACTCGATTAGTAGCAAAGGGATACTCACAGAGGAAGGGAGTAGATTATGATAAAATTCTCCCCGGTTGTCAGACACACCTCCATCAGGATTGTTTTGACAATGGTGGCTAATTTTGATTTGGAGTTAAAGAAGTTGGATGTGAAGACTGCTTTCCTTCATGGTGAGTTGGAGGAACGGATTTTCATGGAGCAGTCAAAAGGGTTTTTAGAACCAGGAACAGAGAATCTTGTGTGTAAACTGAAGAAGTCTTTATACGGGCTTAAGCAATCTCCACGACAATGGTACAAGAAGTTCGACTCTCATATGATTCAGATTGACTACAGTCGTTGTGAGTATAATTGTTGCATTTACTACAGAATTCTTGAGGATAACTCTTATTTTCTTGATGTTGTAGGTGGACAACTTGCTAATTGCTACTAAGAATATGGATGAGGTAGACAGATCGAAATCTTTGTTGAGCAGTAAGTTTGACATGAAAGACTTGGGACCGGCTAAGAAAATTCTTGGCATGGAGATCAACAGAGATAAGGAAAGCCAGAATATTTTGGGTGTCTCAGAAAAATTATTTGAAGAAAGTGCATGTCAGATGCAAAATCAGTTGCTACACCATTGGCAAATTACTTCAGATTGTCTAGTAATCAATGCCCAAAGAATGAAAAAGAGGTTGCAAAGATGTCAAAGGTACCTTATGCCAGCGCAGTTGGATGTTTGATATATGCAATGGTGTGTACCAGACCAGATCTAGCACATGCAGTCAGTGTGGTTAGTAAGTATATGGCTAATCTAGGTAGAGAGCACTGGAGAGCTGTAAAATAGATTTTCAGGTACTTGAAAAGTACAATGGAGTGCGGGATCATGTTTGAGAGATAACATGGTGATATTTCAATTCAAGGATACATAGATGTAGATTATGCAGGGGACTTGGATGACAGAAAGTCCAATACAGATTATGTTTTCATACTCGCAAGTGGGCCCATATGTTGGAGATTAATGGTGCAGTCGCTTGTGACATTATCTACAACTGAAGCAGAGTACATGGCGGTAACTGAGGTAGCTAAGGAATTATTGTGATTGAAAGGGCTTGTCAGGGAACTTGGGATCAAACAAGATGGAATGAAATTGTACTGTGATAGTCAGAGCGCCATCTTTCTAGTGAAAAATCAGATTTATCATGCAAGAACCAAGTACAATGATATGAGATTTCATAAGATAAGAGGGTTATTTCAGGAGAGCTGTTGTTAGAGAAGGTGCATGTAGAGAAGGTGCATGTAGCAAACATGATGACAAAGCAAATTACAGTGGATAGGTTCAAACATTGCTTGAACTTGATTAATATCCCTAGGTGTTAGAAAGGATGTGTCCCAACCCATTGGTCCTAGATGGTGTGATTTTCTAGGTTATTTTTTTCCTGAGGAGTGAATATTCGCCAAGATGGAGATTGTTATGCATGTGGCTCATATAAAGTGGAACACAGGTCCTGGATCACATAGGCCGATGCCAGAACGGAGCGGAGTAGAGTGAGAGGAGTGGATTGACAACATCGCCCTTGCGCGTGTTTAATTCACTGTTTGGTAGTTGAGGATGGTACGGTACAGGGATATTTCTTGTACGGGCCTTAAAGTCTTATATGGGCTCAGGCTAGGATTAGTATAAACAATATGTTGTAATCCTATTTTTCACTACTGAATAAACATTATTTTCGTATCGCTCTCGTGGACGTAGGCACACTGCCGAACCACGTAAATTCTTGTGTTGATTTTCTTTTTCATCTCTTTATTATTGTGCATAAAATCCAACAATTTCTAGTTTGCCTTAAACTAGGTTTTATTTCTTTTGTTTCCTTCTCAAGTTAGGTTATTAGACTCTACATAAAGATGATCTTTTCATTGTAATATTTAGACTTGATACGGAAAAAAAAATGATATTTCCCCCTCAAAATTCTCTCTATTTTGTTCCCCCTTCTCTTTCCCTTTATTTTCTCAATCTTATTCAAATTATTGGACTAATAATGCTTTATGACACTTAGTGGTGGGCGATAAAGGACCTCAAGACCACAAGATGAAGAAAACGTAAATGAGGATGTTAAGCCATATTAAACTGGCTAAAATAAGAAATGAGACTATATACATAGAGGTTACACCATAAATTGAGGATAAACTAGAGGGAAGGTCAACTTAAGTGGTTCGGAGATATCTTCTGAAAACTTAAAAGAAACTCCCACTCACAAGTATGATGCAGCTGATTACGGTTGGTTAAAGCTAAAGATAACTAACTCCAAACCAGATCCACATCTAGAACTAAAACATAAAGTTAGGCATGGTTGTCATGTATAGCCATTTAGTTTATTGTGCACTAGAGAACATCTGGATGGAGAAGAAAAGGTAGTCTCAAGCATAATGGAAAATTGAAGCAAAAGAAAGACAGGGTTACTGAATGTGTTTGACAGCCATGTGTAGTACATATTTTCAAACTAGCTTTTTTGCAGTCTGCTTTTAAACTAGTCTCCATATATACTGTAACTCCTACTAGAAACTTAAAATGCTAAAAAGACGTGATACCTGTTCTGATGTGGCATAAGACCCATAATGGATTTCCTTTCTCGATAATGCTTTCAAGGCAGCAAAGAACGATTGGACCTGTACAGCGACATGAAAACGAGAGAGCACATTTTTTAGATTGGATTTCCAAATTCAGCAGGTCTAAATTAGAACATTAATATAAGATAATGAAACAACTTACCTTCTCTACAATAGATGTAAGCTTGAAAGTTAAATACAACCCAGTTGTCAACGATGAAAAGAGGCTTCCATAGTCTTTGTTCAAGAAAAATCTATACCAGACAGGAGTTGCTCTCCTGGGCACAGCTTTGAAGGTCGCATCTCCATTTTATGATGCCCCAGAAATAATGTCCTACTTAAAACATATATGTTCTTTACATAAATATACAAAAGTACATCATATGGCACAAAAGAATCTTGGCCGCTACTGTTGGGGCTAAAGTTACGTCCAATACTCACATTTTCCAACTCTTAATTAGACAGGGACCTTCGAATTTTGGAAGGAAGGAATATATTTGAGGATGTTTGAATTATTAAAAGACGGGTACCCATTCAAGCTCCTGTATGCTATTGTAATATAGAGAGAGGTTTAAAAATTATGTATTTTCCAAGAAAATATGAAAACGAAAGAGACAAAGTTGTTGGAAATTTATTAAAATTCACAAAAGAGGAAAAGCTACAGATATATTAAGTGATCAAAAGAAGATTACACAGACCTCTTGTTAAGCCGATTAAACTAAGAGTGTTCAACAAAGCACTAAATTCCGAATGGGGAGAAGCAGGGAAAATTTCATTTGTGACTACCAACAATGCCAAATGGATAAATGTATGAGCCATAACAATTATTGCATGAATAAAGTACCAAGCAGGTAAAAAGATATCCATACCATTTACCAGGATGATGAATACTGCATGCCAGAAAGGTGGGACTGCCTTCGGAGGAATCATGAATAGAGAATAGAAAAGATCATCTTTCCCATACCACCAGTAGATTCCAAATACATGAAGCATGAAGACCACAGAATAACCAACAAGGACAGAAATCTTCCTCTCTCCCTGAAAAAGCATGCGTTTGTGAGTTTCTGGAGTTCTCCTATTGTTCATCTTTATTCCTTATATGAATAGGGGTGCGCCAGAAACATGATTTCATTTATGCAGATAACACTAAAAAAAAGTTCATCTCAGGAAACACAGATCATACCTTTAGAGCTGTCTGCTTTCGAACAATGTCATTAGACTTGAACATGATGGCAGTAATCCAAATGGTAGCAAAGAATCCTGAAGAACCATATTTAGAAAAATTAGGAGTTTTTAACTCGAGAGTACACATCACATGATCTAGGTCCATTTAATACAATAGAGAGAGAGAGAGAGAGAACTCATTTAATATGAAAAAACCTATCACATAAACTATTTCAGACCTGGAACCAATTTTCTGATAAGTATCAAAACGATATTTTTGAGAACTGTAGAAGCAAAAGCTCACACATAAGAACATAAAAACTGTTTACTTTTAAGTGGAAGATTATGCCAGTATTATCTCCTCAACAAACACTGTCAGAAGTACAATAGGAAAGTTTTGAGGACCATAGAGACATGACCGTGCTCACAAGACAATATAACAAGCTATTCCCTCTCATGAAGTGGAAGATCTTGCATGTGTTATTTTCCCATGATTCCCATAGGAATAAAATCAACGTTAACCATCATGCAACTCAAAATGAGAAACACTGACAACATTCATTTCATCACTTGCGTCCGCACTCATTTAAACATGAGCATTATAAGTTACCCAACAGAAACGGGCACCGAAAATTGACCGTGGGTAAGCAAGAAATATAATTCATCTTTCAACGTCTTTTCGAGTAAAGCATAATGGTAATCAACAAATTAAATAAATTTCAATGGCTAGTTCCACCAGCCAGACAAATGTCTTGGTTGCAATTACTCAACAGCTGCAGGTTATACATTCCCCTCACTTAATGTACCTAACGCATTTTCTTCTAGTTTTGAACAGCATTAAAAAGGAAAAGAAGTTTTGACCCCCTTTTTTGTCCAAAATGCATTCTAAAATAGTATTTTATGGAGAATGTGTGGTAAAAAAATAAGGAAAAATTTTTTAGATTTGCATGTAATATTATTTTGAATGTTATGTTGAAAATAAGAGACAAAAAAATGTATTTTGGAATAACTGGGACCAAACAAGGGCTTAATCATGTATTGTCTGTGTAAAATTTAGGTTAATAATCGAGAATGCGAAATGAGGATTATCATAATAGTACTCTAGTTTCAAATTGGTATATGATTTCTTATTTAGTATGGATAGAGAAAATGGCAAGTTTCGAAGTGAGACAACAGAGGATCCACAGCTTGGTTACAATGGTAATAGGTGATGAATGGCGTTTCAATCATGAGTCACATCCAATGCAGAAATGAGAACGTCGAGAGAGCCATTACAACACAATAGGTATCATGTTTGTGTTTGTATACATGAGAGAAAGAGAGACTATTGAGTGGACATAAGCATAACTATTTTTCATTCGTTGATTTCATTTTACAATTTATCCCAGTAAAAAGTGTTTACGAGTAGTCTTTGTGCATAGATTTTCTGGTCACAAGTTGCAAGAGGACTTTTGAGGTGAATTGTTCAATAAAACAACGAAAATGCCCTGCAACTAACGATTTAGTGTCAAGCATTCCTTATCTAGAAAATGTCTAGCATCAAGAAGTGGAAATGTAATAAACACTTAGTGATGTCACACATAGTTTGGTTTCTACAATATTCCAAATCTGGAAGAAATTTTATTGGCAAAAATTAGAAACGACTTTCCTAGATACAATGTAATAATATATGAGTTCTTAAAGACTTTAGAAGAGAGCCCATAATGATATACACTATTATATTAACATGTATTTCCATTTTGAATTGAAATGGTGATGTAAAAAGATTATTGCAACTCGTCTAAACAAGAAAGCCAATGTGACCTGATATCTCATCATCCTCCAGATTAACGCTTTATCAAAATTGAATTTGAATAACGAAGACAAGAATAAGATGGTTCGAAATGCTCATAATAATTTCAAAGGAATGAAGTCAACGAATATTTTAGATATGCAGCAAGATCAAAATGCAAATCACCAGTGACAATAAAGTCAAAGTAACTGATACGTGAGAGAAAAGAGAAAAAGGAAGCCTCAAAATTCTGAACATTCACCTTGCAAGTGCTGTCGGATGAAAACCACCAATAGAAGCAAAGAGAAGGGAAGAATCTGCTCAATCCACCTTGCCACCTGCTGTATATCATATCTCCGATACGAAGAAGTTTCCCCATTGTTCTCATTACCGCTACCTGTAGTCCCATTCCCATTAAGATCGTTGGTCACCACTGCAGACTCCTCCGTGCCCAATCCCAATCCTGAACCCGGTTGTTCATTCTCACCGTCATTTCCATCAACCCTATCCCCATCCTGCTCCCCCGCCCCAATAATCCGAATCGATACCTCCCCATGATTATTACTACTATTAGTAATATCATTGCTGTTAATTGAGTTTAAATTGTTGGGAATTTGGGAATTAGTATTGGTGTTTTCGGGAATGAAGGGGTGGGCTTCGGAGTAGGGACGATCGGGTCGGACCCGAAGGACACCGGTGTGCTCAAGTAGGGTTGAGATAGGGGACCGGATGAACCGGAGGAAAGGGAACTGTATCCTGGAATTTCCTCCATTACTTGGTGATGAAGGTAGTGAACCTACATGGGGATTATCAGAATTCGCACCATTTGATGTCTCCATAACTTTTTTGCATTCAAATTAAAAATCCACCCTCCAAAATCTATCTAAATTAAGGTATCAATAAAACCCAGCAAGAATAAATCGAGACAAAAGACTTCTGTTAAATTAGAGAATCGATATATTACCTTACAAGTTTATATCGATACACATACATACAAACAATGCATAAATTACTGAAAAAAATGAGGTATATACAGTGATAGACAGGAAGGTGAAAATATCTGGAGGGGAAGGTCAACGCGAGAGGTGAGGTTAATAATAATTTATTTGGGAATTATTAAATAAGGGCTAAACGTGTAACGTAATTCATGAGCAAATTGTGTTTTCAATTTGATCAATGAATCAGACACTGGAATTGCAGTTATAAAAATCTGTCGTTTTCTCCATTGGCGCAGACGGCGAGAAGGTTTGCGACGATAGATCGAGTTAATTGTTCTAATCGTCACTGAACTTAAGTTGGTTTTTAATTGGTCACTCAAATTTAAAATATGTAGTTTTGATCATTAAACTTAGGTCAATATCTTTGATTACTCACTGAATTTAAGTTCATGTCCTCGATTGAGCACTAAAATTTAAAATGTCAAGTTTTGACCATTAAATTTTGAAAAATATTGTACATTACTAACTGAACTTTGAAATATATCGTACGTTACTCATTAACATAACTATTAAACTTTAAAAAATATCGAGTTTACATTGAGTGATACGGCATTTTTCACAATTCAGTGAGTAATATAGAATATTTTTCAAAATTTAGTGGCAAAACTCGACATTTTAAATTTCATTAAGCAATCAAAGAGCTCTCTCTAATATTTGTCACCCAATTTTGGTATTGTTTTAGTTTAGTCACTCGTATTTCATTTATTTCAGAAACTTCTTGCAACTTTACGTTTTATTTCAGATTGGTCATTTAATCGATGTTAATGAAAATTAATGGAGATAATTGAAATGATCAAATTAAAACAAAAATTATCGAATTGAATGATTATTTTTAAATATAGAATGTTGAGTCATTCAAATTGAAAGTAACCAAATGATTTGAATTTCAAATTGAAAGTAACCAAATGATTTGAATTTCTGCATTGAATTTTTATTTTATTTCTTTTTACAATTTTTGGTTTTTCGCAAAGTATACCAAAGAGAAAAAATGAAAGGATGAGCTCAAGCATGGTTAGAAGTCATCTATAAATTATTCAAATTATAATTATATAAAAATAATTGTTAGATAAGTGGATAATATTTACGAATCAAGTGAAATATATTAATAAAAAGTTATTTGACAATTTATAACCAAACAATGGGTTTAATATATGATTGGCAATTTAACTTTTAATAAAAATTAATCAAATTATGATGACTTAAGTTTTAAAATTAATGACAAAAATAGTCCGACTAAGCCCTCGTCTAAAGACCGTTATTTGGGGAAAACGATATATTGAATAGTAATTTTTGAGAGAATGTGTAGTTAGAAAGTATAGAAAAAATTTAAGTTTACGTGCATAACATTCTATTGTATGAATGTACAATTAAAAATGAGTATGTAGAAATAAATTTTCAAATATTGATCGTTAAACAGGGGCTAAGACAAACAACTCTTTGTAAAATCTCAACACTAATCAAAGACATCATCACATATTTGTAACAATTTTGGTCGTTCTATCGCTGATGTCTCCATCTACATTTTTGTATACCTAGATTAATGTGAACATAAGACCAAAGAATTCTCTATCGGTAGTCCCAAAGACACTTTTGAAGGTTAAATTTTAGCTTCAATATTTCACTCGATTTGTTAAGAGAAAAGTTAGCCCCTGTTTGTCATCCATTTCTCCCATTCTTTTACATTATTTTTTCTACAGTACTCATTTTTAACTATATATTTTTCATTAAAATAATATTACACGTAAATCAAAAACTTTTCATTCATTTTTAACTACACATTTAAATATCAATTACTATTTCATAATACATTCTTTCCAAATAATGGGTGACAAACACACCCTTAATTAAATATTTGCTTATAAGTGGCATTCAAATTCTTTAATCCAATTCTAACGGTGTAACAATATGTCCCAAAATCTGTGATGAAAAGCATTTTTTTCCCGTGTGTTTGTCACTTAGGTTTGATGAGAGCCCAAAAATGCATCGAAGAAGTTTAGGGTGCGTTTGATTTGTTGTTTCCTAGTTCATTTCAAATTTATAGAATACCCAAAATTTGTTTGGTATAATATTTTTGAAAATACATTTTACAAAATAATGTTAAATTTAAAACATAAAACTCAAAATATCTTTTTGTCAGTGAAAACAACAAAACTATTCAAAACACAAGAAAATAAGCTTTTAAATAAAAATTCTAGAAACAAATTAGATTCTAAAAAATAAAAACTAAAAAAATTATAAAATTTTAAATACTTGAAATTCTAAGAAAGAATAATAAAAAAATATATTTAAATGAAAACTAGTAAAATTTCTCAATCCACATATTTTATTTTTGTTTTTTATTCACTATGTTTTCTCAATTCAATTTATTATTTGTTTGTATTTTACTTTTGCAGTGAAAAAATATGATAAAGTCCATCAACTTTAAAATCTATATATTATTCAATAATAAATTAACATAAAATTATTCTATTTTACAAAATAATCGAATTAATGAAATCAAAATATCATAAAATAATTTTTCAAAATTTCAAATCAAATGTGTTTTCCAACTTTGTATATGTAATTAACAATATAAATACTTAATTTATAATAGCCAAATAACAAAAATTAATATTTATTTGTCCAAAACATGATGTCAAATAATGCATTTGACATATACCCAAAACCATGAAGCCTCGAGAGATCTTGAATTGCTCTCAAATAGTCGATGCAATACACGTTGCCATTATATTTATTTTTTGATGTAGGGTTCTTTAAATCGATCGATATGGAAATAACCATAATATTCGGCGATAACAGATCCTCACAAATCAACATTGGTCGAGCATTACCTTTCCTCTTAGCTATAGCAGAGACGGATAGCCCCCCCCCCCCCTCCGCCCCC